CCTCATTTTCAGTGTTTGCAAAATGGTATTTGTGATGTTTTGAAACTTGGGACCACAGTGGGGTTCATTCAGTCAGTGCCCTCAGGATGACTGCAGGTACCTGGCCATGGGGGGCAGAGGTGCTGCTGCGGGGCTCAGGGCAGGGGGTCATGCCACAAGGTGTCTGGGAAAGGAGCCCACTGGTGAGCTGAAGGGGCTCCATGTCCGCAGCGCTGTGTCCACAGAGTCTGCACTTCAGGGACGTCCCTCTGGGTTCTGCTGGAAGCCCCTTGTCTACCCAGCCTGCGTCAACAGGACCAGGCACCTGCAGCAGGGAGGGCTTGGGGCAGGCAGAATCCAATGTTCAGAGCACAGAAAAGATGAACTAGGGAAGTTGAAACCAAGAAAGACCTCCCAAGGGCAAGAATGGAAGAAAAAGTATCCAATGTACACAGCCCTATTGTGAAACTAATTTATAGCTTAAGAATATGGGGAGGGGGACGAGAGGGGAGGCGGGTGGAGAGTGGAGGGAGGGTGATTGGAGGGATCACCTCTATGGTTTATCTTTCAAGGGTACAAGTGAATCTTTCTAAAAGTAGAATATAAACGGCTTAACACAATAACTAAGAAAATGACATAAAGGCTATGTTAACCAGTTTGATAAAAATATTTCAAATTGTTTATGAAAACACCACACTGTACCCCATGATTGCATTAATGTACACAGCTATCATTTAATAAAAAAAGAAGACGTAGACAAGAGGAGGAGGAGAGATGGGGTGAGGATGGGGGTGCACTTGGCATGCGTGTAGTTGCCTGTCACCCTGTGTCTTCCCCGCCTGGGCAGAAAAGCAGCTCCCACGCCACTGGGACTCCAGACAGTGGGGCAGATTTCCCCTCCCTGGGCTGCACATGCCGTGGGCGTCACAGAGCTCGCTTCTTTGCTTCCTCAGTCTTTAGACTTGCAACTGGAAGAGACAGATGGCAGGTGATCAGTCCTCATCCCTGCCTGCTGACAGCATCACTGGAGAGCTTTGGAAAGTGCTGGCAGCTGGGCCCCACGTGCAGAGCCTGCTGGTGGGATTGGTCTGGAGTGGGGCCCAGAGTCCTAGTTTTGAAAGCTGCAGAGGTGATTTCACTAGCTGGAGACCCATCCTCAGCTGCATGCTTGGTATGCTGTGCAAACTGGGGGTGGCCTGTGAGACCTGCTGACCTCATGTCCTTTTCTCCCTGTGTCCTTTGCAGACTACGGCACCATTAAGAAAGTGCGG